ACCATACCCATCTAATGTTTTATTTTTTGTAGAGATAGGGTCTCACTATGTTGCCCAGGTTGGTCTTGAACTCCTGGATGTCAGTGATCCTCTCATCTTGGCCTCCCAAAGGGCTGGGTTTATAGGTGTGAGCCACCGTGTCTGGCTCCAAGACCTTTTATTGTTGCAGAAATCCATCCACGAGGACAGGGCCTACCATCGGGCCCCACCTCCCTATACTGTTGCACCGGGGAGTGAGTTTCCAGCCTGTGAACTTGCAGACACATTCACCCACCAGCACCAGGCAACAGAGTGCTGCCTGATGCTGCTACCCAGAGTAACACAGGAGGTATGAGATCCACATTACAGAGGCGAATGGGCTGCTGATGACACTGATGTTGGTGATAAAATAGTTTGCAGGGGGCCTGGGCAACATGGTGAGACCCCCCCACCCACAAAAAAAATTAGCTGGGGTTGGTGGCTTGTGCCTGTAGTCCCAGCTACTCAGGAGACTTAGGTGGGAAGATGGCTTGAGCCCAGGAGTTCTAGACTGCAGTGAGTCATCATAGCACTACTGTACTCCAGCCCGTGCAACAGAGTGAAACTCTGTCTCTGGAATTAAAGAAAAGTTCCGAAGTGGGAGAGATTTTCTTCCCTCTCCCCTGCCTGGCCCTGTCCCAGGGCTTCATTCTTAGGAAGGAGGGATGCTCTGGGAACCCCTGAGTTTGGAAGATGCTCTGGTAGGATTTTGCAGCTGGGTGTGTGGGCAGTGGGGGCTCCCCTGCCTTTAGGCTGCCCACTGCCCTCTGCTGGCTGGGCCTCACCTCCACTGATCCTCAGAAGTGCTCCCCACTTAAGGGCAGGTGCCTGACACCCTGAGGCCAGTTGTGCAGAAGGCTGGAAAATGCCTGGAGTGTGTGTGTGTCCTCTTTGGCACACAGTGTATAGCAAGGGTGCTGGGATGCAGCCCAACCCTGTTCGTGGGTGCCCCGTGTCCTGGCAGTGATGAGGGAGTGAGAACAGAAATAAGACAGGGCCAAGGGTAGAAGTTCACAGCGTGGGTCCAGGGGTCCAACGCACTCTCTGGCAGGGTGATCTGCGTTGGCACTGAGCTGTGGGCTCCACACACTTTTATTGGGTGCATTATCTTGTTAATCTTGCAGGCTGTGGGGAGGAGGGTGGAGGAGGAAGATAGATGGGGGGAAGAGCATGTGTCTGCAGCATCAATAGCAAATGTAGTTCTTCTAAGAAACGCTAACTAAGGACACTGAGTTTTTACCACCCATTCTCTATCCAGGTGCATTTGCAAAAGAGGCACAATGGATAGGGCGCCATAAGGTCTGAGCGCACACCGTGCATCAAGGGGTTTTTATCTCCTGAGCACTGTGGACACAGAGCAATCAGAATTACTCTATATTCCCAGAACACAGGCAGAGCCTGTGGCGTTCCAGTTCTCTCTGCCCTGCAAGACTTCCCTGTCCTGCAAGCTCCCGTCTGCAAAGGCCCTCCCGAGTCTTGTGAGCAGAGGTTGCGTTCCTTCCTAGAGTTCTTGCACAAGCCCTCCTTAGGAGACCCTCACGCAGACTGTGTGTTGGGAAGAGATCGTGGGACCGAAGCCATCTCTGCTGCCTCGCAACCACACCGCAGCGTCCCGCGGTTATGAAGCTCTCAGACGGTCTTCACTAGAGGCCTCCTGTTACCACTTGATCTCTGCTTTTATTTTACTGCACCATAGTTTGGAGTTTTCTTAATTCAGTATTTGATCCGTGGCACAAATCTCAGGGTATAAAAAGTAAGCAAGCTTGTAATCATTTAACTGTAACACAGGTCTGCCCCTGGCCATCTTTTCCTACAAAGGGGACCTTCAGTTCCATTTTACAGGTGAGGAAGCTGAGGCAGTGGCAAGCTGTGGTCACACACTCCCTGAAAACTGCTCCATCAGTGGAGTCAGGATCTCCCATGCTATTTTCAAGATCCAGACAGTGCCAAGGTTCCTCTGGACCAGAACCTTCCTCCCTGCAGTCAGAGGGCACGCGGGGGCTTTGCCCTGCAGCTGCGTGTGCCTGGAATATCTCTGTTCTGTCATTGAGGATGACAACACTGGCCTTGCACGGTCATAGATTCCCGCAGACCCGCCTCCGTCCCACTGGATGGTCTAAAGCCACACCTCCCTGCAGGGTGGGCTCACAGGCTCACTGCCTAAGCCCTGGCCATGACCTTCCTCCCACGGCTCAGCCCACCTAGCTTTCCAATCAAGGGTGCCACAGCCACTGCCCCTGGCTTTCCTGGGCAGTAGGTGGGTGATCATGGTGCAGTGCTTAGTTGAAAAGCAAAACAGCCGTGACAGCTGGTAACATCCCTCTTTCAAAGGGGAAAAACCTATGAAGAGACCAGAAAGTATAATCCTGTACTGGGCACAATTAGAGAACTTGGACAACATTCTGAATTTATTCCACAGGATACAACTGGTCAATCATTTCTCTAATCTCCATGTGGTTTCAAATAGTCTAGTTTCTTCAACAGTGAACTTGTTTTGACAAAGAGCTTATTCTAGGGACCAAACTCAGGGCAACTTCATACCTGTTGTCTCTTTTTTCACCAATTGTTGATCTACTTTTTTTATTTTCTTGAGATGGAGTCTCACTCTGTCACCCAGGCTGGAGCGCAATGGTGTGATCTCAGCTCACTGCAATCTCTGCCTCCTGGGTTCAAGCGATTCTCCTGCCTCAGCCTCCCAAGTAGCTGGGATTATAGGTGTGCACCACCATGCCTGGCTAATTTTTGTATTTTTAGTAGACAGGCTGTCACCATGTTAGTTAGGTTGGTCTCGAACTCCTGACTTCATGATCCGCCCACCTTGGCCTCCCAAAGTGCTGGGATTACAGGCATGAGCCACCTTGCTCAGACTTTCAATCTACTTTGTAAGTTTTCAGGGCTGGGCTACACTTGTTCATTAAAGTAAATGTAATTGGCAAATTGCTTTTTAATTGTAATGTTGAAATAAAGTGACAAAACATTTAGTGATCTTTTTATTAATATACTCAGGGTGAGTTAACCCTTAAGCCCTAAAACAATAAAAATAAATTACTTAGATATTTTATAATTCTGGTGCTTGAAATAAAGACAAATAGAAAACTATGTTAAAATATTAAAAACTTGCAAAATTTCATTACAAGTATTTACATTTGTATTCTAATGCCAATTTACACATACAGTCCTTTTAAATTAGATTTACTATAATATCTTGACATGAAAATAATAGAAATAAATATTAAATATTCAGAACATGAGTAAAAATTCAATTATTAGTATTCCAAATTTAGTCATTTTATTTATGAATGGCCAAGGGATCTTACAGTTCCTTTGAAGTTTTTTATGCCAGATTATCGGTCCCTTAACAATAGCCCTGTAAAGCTCTCAACAGTCACGAATCACTGGTAGGATCATTTCAACAAAAACACACGATTCTTCTGTAACTAACAAAAGAGGAATCTGTTTTAAATGAACCCAAGTTTGTCAATCACTAAAAATGACGTATTTTTATAAATGTTTTCTTTAAGTTCCGATACATAGAAAACACGTATATTTCTTAAAAGTTTCATTGGTGAGAGAAGAATAATTCTTTGGTTAACTTTTCTCGTTCGTGTTCTATTTAAGGAACGAGTTCTATTTTGTCTGTTTTTTAAACATGGATTGGAAAATAATGGCCAACATCTCTGAGACCAGAAAGGATCATTTTACAGATGTCTTGGGATCTTCGCTCTGTTTTGTCTCATAAAGATTCAAGTTATTTCTCTTCTTGTACTATTTTTTTTTTTTTTGAGATGGAGTCTTACTCTGTCACCCAGGCTGGAGTGCAGTGGCATGATCTGACTCACTACAGCCTCCGCTGCCTGGATTCAAGCGATTCTCCGGCCTCAGCCTCCAGAGTAGCTGGGACTACAGGCAATGTGCCACCATACTTGGCTAATTTTTTTATTTTTAGTAGAGACAGGACTTTTCCATATTGGCCAGGCTGGTCTCCAACTCCTGACCTCAAGATCCATTCTCCTTGGCCTCCCAAAGTGCTGGGATTAGAGGCTTGAGCACTGCGCCTGGCCCCCTCTCTCCTTATACTTTAAAAACATTTAGCAGAGCATATTCTTAAAGATTCTTGGTAGGTCTTATTCTTACTTAGTATTCTGAGTCAACTGGCGGTATATTTACCAAACGTGGAGATTAATTCACGCAAATTCATGGTTATTAACGTATCCAAACCAGGGAGTACATTGTTCAAATAGTGATTAGTTCTTAGATATTTTGTTGTTTCACACAGTTGGGAATTAAGAAATATCTATACACTAATTGCTTAATACAAACTCCATCAATCCCAAACCTTTCTAACTAGCATTTTCAAAATCTGCCCATGCAACACCTGTGAGGCAAGCAGAAGCCCCGGGCACCGGGTGGGAGGGGACTGCCCTCAGTCCGTGGTAGCCTCGGCCCCTGGGAGCACAGGCTGGGGCGGGGAGAGTGTAGGTGCTTCCAGACAGCTCCTGACTCCCTCCATACAGTGGCCTGGACGTGACACAGGCCCCAAGCTACAGACGAAACCCACAGCTCACTCCCCCAGGACGGGATGGCTGGTTGGGGACGGTTTCTGAGGTTTGGTTACATCATTTGAAGCAACGTATTGGTGTTTTAAACATCCTATGAACTGTCTGAAGAAAGTAAACATATGGGCCCAGTCACAACATGGAGTTGAAGGGACGGGACGGGCCCGCACTAGCGGGCTTCTGCGTGCTGCAAGCAGAGTGACCAGGTGGAAATTCATTTCCCAGTGACTTCCTCCACATTTCTTTAGGAATTCTAAAGTGGAGAATGCGAAGCGCCTCCGGGCAAAGGCAGGGCACGGGCCACACCTGTGTCCACCTCAGTTCCAGGCAGGCGCTGACGTCTGTCACAGAGGCAGCGCTACTGGAGAAGCATCCAGCAAGGTGCTTGCCGAGGTGGGACCAATTCTCAAAAACAATACGAATTTAAAAAGATGTTCTCTTTTGCCTTTATTTCTTGCTCTAGTGGGAACGTGAGCTCTGCTACCCGGGGCCGAGCGCACTGGGCATGGCCAGCAGACGGGGCCTGCAGGGGGAGAAGGCACGCTGGAGGCCAGTGCACTCGGCCACTCTCCCGGAACCACCGTGCGCCGAGCCACAGACCTGTGGAAATTGTACTGCACGTGACAGAGAGCAGTGTGCAAAAGGTTTCCGGTCATATTTTATGGTAATTGCTCCCAGTAGTAAGGAAAGTGGGGCCGTGCCTGTGCTGCCGGCAGCCTGGCTAGCACCTCCCAGGTGGTGCCCTCTGGCTCTCTCTAAACAGGACGCATCCTCTTCCGATTCTAAGACAGGCCTGAGACAGCCCTGAAGGCTCAGCACACAGGGCGCGGGGTCCAGGTGCTGCACACAAGGTCTGTGGTTACTCCCGTTCGTATCGTGTGCATGAGAGCTGACGGCACGGACATGTAAGAAGCGTGCACAGCTGGAAGCCGCGGACAGCAGCCAGAGCATGGGGTCGCCAAGGCCAGAGAGTTCAGGAGAAATAGTGTGGAATCAGGAGACGTGCTCCATCCCTTACAAAGGAGCCGGAGTGCCGCGTCAGCGCCTGGCATGCGTCCTGCTGGAGCTCTTGCTCAGCCCGCCCTTTGGGGTGGGGATCTTGCTTCCGGCCTTTGACCCCGAGACGCCTGATGCAGCCACAGCTGACCTTCTCCCTGCAGAGCAAGCACAGGACCCACATTAAGAGGGGCGCTCCTACCCACAAACCAGATGTGGAACCTGTGGCCACAGTGTGAGTGGCCAGGGAGTGGTCAGATACCGAGCAACAGTGTCCGAGGGCCCATGGTGATGGCCAGCACCCGACTGCAGGACTCAGGGCTGGGCCTGGTGGGGTCTGCACAGTGGGCAGCGGTCATGTAGTCCCCAGGGGCCAGGCTGACAGTGGATGTGGGAAGTGGCTGTGCTGGCCGGCTGCACATGCACACGTGGTGGCACCAGGAGAGGAAGAGAATGCAGAGGAAACACGTGACATGTGGCAGAGGGCACAGAGCTGCCCTGGTATTAGCCTGGAACTCAGCTCCAGCAGCAGAGGCGGGGCGGCCACAGGGACTGGAGAGAGGCTTCCCGGCTGGCTGGCGGTCAGCAGGCGGCCCAGGAGCCTCTCTTTCCCCATGTTTGGCAGAGGTTGGGATGCCCTGTAGCCAAGTGCAGGCCTCAGCCCAGGGCCTGGCACATACCCAACACCCACAAACATCATCACTCCTCAAATACAGCTGTGTATCAAAGGCTTTGCCATCAGGAATAATTTTCTAATAAAAGAGATCCTATTTTCTTGCAAGGCATCCCAAATCTGACATGAAATAGCTAATCTGATTTCTGGATCAGGCAGTGGCATTAGCTATGGGTCTACTCTTTAGCTTCCTCTTTTTCTTTTTTGGAGACAGAGTCTCACTCTGTCGCCCAGGCTGGAGCGCCATAGCGTGATCTCGGCCTACCACAACCTCTACCTCCCGAGTTTGAGATCCTCCTGCTTCAGCCTCCCAGGCAGCTGGGATTGCAGGCCCTCGCCACTGTGCACAGCTAATTTTTTTTACAGGGTTTCATCATGTTGGCCAGGCTGGTCTTGAACTCCTGACCTCAAATGATCCACCTGCCTTGGGCCCCAAAGTTCTGGGATTACAGGTGTGAGCCACCGTGCCCGGCCAGCTTCCTGATTCTAACACTCGTGTCAGTGATGCAGAAAGAGAAGAGGACTGGAGTAGGAGCCTTTGCACGTGGAGAAGGACTTTGCTCACACAATATGGTTAGCCTGCCTACTAAGGAACCAGAGCACGAGAGAGAGGCTGGGAGACTTTTTTTTTTTTTTTTTTAAAAGGGATGGGGTCTTGCCATGTTACCCTGCTGGGGATGCTCTTTTGGGTAAGTGGAAATGGAGGGCTGGACTGCACCCGCTCAGTGCGCTGGCCCTCACCTGGCTGCAGTGCTGGGGCCTTCTGCAGAACGTGTGTCTTGCGCAGGTTCATGGTGCAGCCGGCTGGGCCCATCAGGTGAGCTTTCCATGCCTGCAGCGGAGGAGGCAAAGAGTTAATCAAGCAGGACCAACCTGGGGCACTACCTCAGACCCAAAGGGACTCACTGTGTAAGCTGAAAACGAGGGGTGGCCACACCGGCAGGAGCCGCAGAACAGTTCCGTCACCGGGACGCCTCCCTTTGGGTGTGTTGTGATGGCCTCTGCGGTCTGTGCAGAGTACAACTCAGGACACACCAAGTCCTGTTGCCAGGTGAGCCTGCGTCTGGTTCCCACCCAGCCACACAGGGCCTTTGGCGTCAGCGTCTCCGAGCACAGCAGTGTGCGCGCAAATGCAAGGGTGAGATGCAAGGTGCCCATGTGACTATGGGCCAGGCCAGAAGAGAGAGTGTGCCAGGTCCCACAGGCTCCCCACCAGCCCGCTGCCGGCAGTTCCTCATGGGGTTCCCACTCTCTCCATCCCTGTTCCTCCTGAGCCACGCCACATGCAATTGCCCTGCAGAATGTGGGGCTCACGTGGCCCTGACTGCCTGGGCAGCCAGCTTCTTTCCTTCAGGACCAGTTATGAGACCGTCTGCGCAGAGACAGGGTTATAAAGGTGGCACCGCTGATTCCGAGTCTCTGGATGTTCCGGTTGTTCCTGGCTTTTTCCCTTCTATTTAAACAGCCCTCCCGAGGCTGGACACAGTGGCTCACGCCTGTAATCCCAGCACTTTGAGAGGCCGAGGTAGGCGGATCACCTGAGTTCAGGAGTTCAAGACCAGTCTGGTCAACATGGTAAAACCCTGTCTCTACTAAAAATACAAAATTAGCTGGGTGTGGTGGCGCACACCTGTAATCCCAGCTACTCAGGAGGCTGAGGCAGGAGAACTGCTTGAATTCAGGAGGCAGAGGTTGCAGTGAGCCGAGATCACACCATTGCACTCCAGCCTGGGTGAGAGCGAAATTCCGTTTCAAAACCAAAAACGATGCTCCCCAGGGACACTGCTCCAGCGGTTCCCGCATTCTCTGATGCACCAGTATCTCCACCAGACACATCCCTGCCTCTCCCTGGTTCCTCTCTCTCTCTCACCAGTGGCTGCCAGTGTCTGCCAGCCTGTGGCAGCCCCAGCCCAACCCCCTCCTGTCCTGCTTTAGCTGCTCCAGGCAGGCCTGGGTTCTGGTCTCTCCATTCCACCAGCATGAAAGCTGGGGCGCCTTCTCATCAGGACGTGACCCATCAGCATGGGGTGCACTTGCTCACCCCCTCCCTGGTGGAGGGACACGGCCTGCCCTAAAGGCTCTACTTCCTCCCTCCCCAGCACAGAGGCGGCGGGTCCCCCTCCATCCCTTGAATCTGGGTGACTGTGGTTTGCCTTGGTCAATGGAACAGTGGCAGACATGTGGCGGGGAGGCTGAAATGAATGCGTGCGCCTGGGCTGGTCTCGCTCTTGCCCTCTGCCATTGCTGCGGGAATGCCATGCCCAGGCTGGCGTGCCGGGATCAGACACAGGAAGCAAGGCTGAGGCGCCGCAGCTGCCTCCAGACTGTCCTAGATCAGTCCTCAGCTGTGGACCCCAGGTGTGTGTGTGAGCCCAACCAGGCCAGCAAGAGTCAGGCGGCTGCGATCAGCTGAGCCCGGCCAGACCAGCAGGCGTCCTCTTTGACCGGCTGTGCTCCTCCCCAGCACCTGGTTCGCCGCCTCCCTCCCACTCTGCCCGGGCTTAGCCCGTGGTCCTCTTCTGTCTGCACTTGCTCTTCAGGAGAGTGATTCCAGTAACATGACCTTACACCTACTTCTCATACACACCAACAGCCCCACGTTTCCACGTGCAGCCGTCTGTCTAGCTGCCTGCACACCTGACAGGCATTTTATCTCCATAGCTCCAGGCTGAGCTCCTGAGCGCCCTGGGTTCCTGACGGCAGTCACTACCTCACCACGTAGCAAGGACTCCACCAGCAAGTCCTGGGTCTGCCTGCAGTGTGCGCCCAGAATCTCACCACTTCTCAGAAGTCACTCAGCTTTCTGCTACCCCCGACCTCTCTGTCCCACAGCCTCTCAACAGAGCAGCAAAAGTGGCTGGCACGGGGTCTGCCAAGTCATGCCCACTCTTCCACTCAAACCCTGCAGGGACATTGCCTTCCACTGACTTTGAAGAGTAACAATCAGTAGTTTTCATCCCCAATATTGCCTTTCAGTCTATGTCCTTTGATGAAGAGGTTCTCACCTTTTACAACTGAATAGTTTTACGATAGAGTCCAGTTCTGCCGTTAAGCACGTTCAGATGCTGTGCACTCAATCTCCAGAACTCTTTTCATTTTACAAAACCCAAACTCTGCCCCAACCTTCTTCATTTTAATGGAACTGAATGTATCAGCCTCTTCCATCAAGGCTTCCGCTGCGTCTGTTTGAGAAATCCCTTCCTGGTCTGAAGTCACAAAGACATCCTTTGATCCACAGCCTCTCCTAAGAGATTCACAGTTGGGCCTTTCACATTGCAATCTCAGATCCACCTAACTTCCTGTTTTTTCTTTGTGAGACGGAGTCTCGCTCTGTCGCCAGGCTGGAGTGCAGTGGTGTGGTCTTGGCTCACTGCAAACTCCGCCTCCCAGGTTCAAGCAATTCTCCTGTCTCTACCTCCTGAGTGGCTGGGATTACAGGCGTGCCACCACGCCCAGATAATTTTTGTATTTTTAGTAGAGATGGGGTTTTACCATGTTGGCCAGGCTGGTCTTGATTTCCTGACCTGGTGGTCTGCCCGCCTCAGCCCCCACAGTGCTGGCATCACAGGCGGAGCCCCCACAAGCGGCCCACTCGGAGCCTTCGTCTAAGTGGAGTGGAGGGTGTCAAACTTCAGTGTTTACCCCTCTTCACATCATTCACAAAAATTCCAGATGTTAGAATTGGCACACAAGGACTTTAAAGTAGATTCTTAACGTCTGTTAGAGGCCTTAAATGTGGAACAAAGTGCCCCTGATGGCTATCAGAACCTGGGCCAACCTTGAAATCATGTAAGTCAAAGACACAAAGGCTGCAGAGTGCACGATTCCATTTACAAGAAGTGTCCAGAGTAGGCAAATCCCTGGAGACGAAAACTAGACAGATGGTTGGCAGGGGCTGGAGAAGGCGCTGGGGAGAAATGGGGCCGCGCTCAGGCAGTGCTATCTTGTGGGTGATGGAAAAGCTCCCAGCGTGTGCTGATGGTTGCACAACTCTGAATACATGAGAACCCGCTGATCTGTACACGGGGAGATGCTGAGCAGCCTAGACCTCCATAAATCCGTTAAAAACAGGTGCTCTTAGTAAGTGAACAGATGTGAACCTCAGTAGAGAAATGAAACGTAAAAAAATCCCAGCCAAATACAAACACTAGAACTAGAAAGTACAAGATTGGAAACGAAAAATTCACTTAACAGAGGACTGGAGAGGGAGGGAAGGAGACAGGGCATGGGGCCCTTCAACTAGAACAGAAAGGAGACCCCGGACACAGCCCAGTGAGCCACAGGGCAGACCCAACGCTCTTCACACTCACAAGCCCGTAGGCAGGAGAGGAGGGAGGGAACACTGGCAAAACAATTCACACAAAATTAGAAAGACACGTCTCAGCAGGCTGGAGTGGCCTCAAGGAGTGAGCTGTCCTGCAGAGAGGCCCCCAGTGTTGAGGACGGTGGGGGTCTCTAGGAGCTGAGTGGCTCTGGGTTGACAGTCCCCAAGAACATGCGACCTCAGTCCCATAACCACAAGGAAGTATTACTGCCAGCTGCCGGGATGAGCCTAGATGTGAGTCCTTCCCTAGCAGGGCCACAGATGAGAACACAGCCGGGCTCTGGACCCAGGGAACCATGAGGCAGTAAGCACGTGGCTGTTATCTGCCTATGCTGCAAGGTGTGTGGTGGCGTGTTAGGCAGTGTGGATAATTAGATCCAGGGAGGGCAGATGACACGTGAGATATGCCTGCTGATGGCACTGCAGATACTACCTGTGAGAGGACGTCAACTCGAGTCCGATGCTGGGAACAAGAAGGGGCGGAAGAAAAGGCGGCTACCGGAGGATCTGAACACTGCTCCTAGTGGGAAACCAGTGATAGCAACAGAAACGGGACGATGGGCACCGCACGGGAGTATGAGTAAGCAACAACTCGAATGTAAACACAAAGGCTCCTACATTCCGGAAGTAACCAGGGGTAGGAAAGGGGAAGGATGCCCGTGGAGCAGTCCCTAGAGGGAGGCGGACGGAAGCAGGGCAGGGCGGCAGCCTCTGTCCCAGGTTCTTCAAAGATGCCTGATTCTACAGACCCGGAAGCATGTCTTCTGTAATTACAGAACTTAATTCTTTAAAGTCCCCTAGAAATGGAATATAAAATGAACGTGTTCACAGTTGGTGGCATTGCCAGCCAGGGCGCACTCAAGTCCCTCCAACACAGGGCCACTGGGCCCCCTGTCGCCAGTGGAAAATGTTGTGAGGACAGGAACTGGGAAGTCTGACTTCTAGCAGAATCTGCCGCTGGTGGTGCGGGTGCCGCTGTGCTGGGCTGCCCGTGTACACTGGGGGACAAGGTGAATGGGTCGCCTGCGATCCCTGAATTCTGTCTCCAGGGCCTTTGGAAACCGGGGCCCAAGGATGGAAGTAAGGAGACACAGACGTTGGGAGAGACAAGGTTAAATAAGGCCTGCAGCTCAGGACAGGAGGGGAAGTGTGTGTGCACGAGCGACGGAGCCTCCTTCCCTCCATCTCTCCTGGCTGTGTCCACCGAGAGCCCAGCCACCGCGACCCACCTGGCAGCGGTGCACCTGAGGCCCCCAGTGCTGTCCTGAGGCCCATCCCTACTAATGGGAACCAGGCCTCTGTGAGCAGCTGGCCGATTCCAGGTCCGGGGCAGGAATGGACTGAAAAGGAGGGAGCTCTCTGCAGCTGCTTGGGTCTCATCAAAGTCTCAGGAGCCCAGCTGAAGAGTATGCCATTGGCCAGAGCTGGGACAATTCATGCGTCACTAAGCACGGTAACTGCATGGAACAGGGTCCCAGGGCTCAGCATTCACTGCCCAGCATAAAGAGGGCACCGCCAGCCCATTGTGTTGGACAGGGCCAAAATAACTGACAGGGAGCCTTGCACGCCCATGTCCCTCCTCATGGCCTCCAACGTCAGAGGAGCCGAGTGTATGGGGAAGCGGAGGGTGTGCATGTTCGAGCTGGCCCTCCCCACCGAGCCTGCTGAGTCACAGCGTAGTGCGCACTGGGACAGGGAGGAGAGCTTGGAATCAGGGAGGAAGGAAAATCGTTTAACCAAATAGGGCTGGGTTTTATTAGGCAAATAAGACTGCAGTGTTATAGAATCTGGCCAAGCTGTCACTGAGGGCCTCAGTATCTGGAAAAAGGCAATGGCCAGAACGAAAGAAAACCATGTCATGCTTGTACCCCAGTGACACAAGCTGGGCTTCGGTGAGCTGAGGCTCCTCCATAAACCATTTGTAAACGGAGGGAAGGAAATTGTGTGAACGTGCAGGTAGATGGAGAACCGTTCAGACAGGGCTAACCAGACGCTGTCTACTACCTGAACGCTCATGTGCTGTGCTCTGGCATGGCTCAGCACTAACACCACCACCACCACTACCACGATCACCACCATCACCACCACCGCCACCATGATCACCACCACCAGCACCACGATCACCACCAACAGCACCACGATCACCACCACGATCACCACAACCACCACCGTGATCACCACCACTGTGACCACCACCACGATCACCAACACCACCACCACGATCACCACCATCACCACCACCACCACCGTGATCATCACCACCAGCACCACCACCACCACCACGATCACCAACACCACCACCACGATCACCAACACCACCACCACGATCACCAACACCACCACCACGATCACCACCATCACCACCACCACCACCGTCACCACCACCACCACCACGATCACCAACACCACCACCACGATCACCACCACCACCACCACGATCACCAACACCACCACCACGATCACCACCACCACCACCACGATCACCAACACCACCACCA